ACATTGGATAGAAAGGGTGAGATCGAGTAAAGATATTACTTTTTTTTCTCTATACGTAAAAGTGGGTGATGAAGGTTGTTGCCTTTCACACTTTTTATTCTCAATATTACATAAAAAAAAAAGTTCTCTAACAATTGGAAGAATGATTTATATATAAAGACGATCGTGCAGGTTGAGAACAAAAGTGTATGCCAATACACACACACACACCTTTTTTTTCCTTTTTTTATGCTTCTACCTTTTATTCTAAACTGATGTAAACGTCCGTCACATCTCCTAGACAACATATAATCATCATTTTTCTCTTGAAATAAATCAATACCATTTGCAAGACTTGCATATACGAGAGAGAACATTACAAATTATTTTTATATATGGACATATATATAACAAATTTCTGATTTTTTTTTTAAATTTTAGATATTGCGTTTATTTTAACAAAAATGGCATCAGGTGGAAACAGTGGCTTAAAAGAAGCCTTTGATAAATATTCAAGATTTGGTAAAACCGAAGCACAATTAAAAGAAAAAGATATTCGAATTGATTCAAAAAATATTCAAAAAATGATGAAAGATGCAGGTATTGTTGATGGAACATATCCAACACAATTACTTGATAATGATATTTCTCGTGTTCTTGGAAAACTTACTAGTGGAGGAACATATGCAAAGGGACTGTAAGTAACAAAACAATTAAATCAATTAAGTTTTATGAATATATGAATTCTAGTAAAACATTTGAATTACAAGGCTTCAAACAACTTATTGATCAAGTTGCTGCATCAAAAAAAACATCGTCTGATCAAGTTATTGCACAAATCAATTCTACAGGTGGACCAAGTTTAGCTGGTGTTACAGTAAGATATTATATTAAAATGATAATTTAAATTTTTATAGTTCTTGTTATATTTAGGGTACTGCTAATAGAGGTATAACCGATCGTATGACTGATGCAAGTCAATATACAGGTTCACACAAAGAACGTTTTGATGTCGAAGGACATGGTAAAGGAAAAGATGGTCGTGTTGATGCTGCTAAAAATACGGGTTATGTTGGCAATTATAAAGGAGAAGGCAGTTATGATAAAACGCATTAAGTTCAATCAAACCATTTGATCATTAAAAAAAAACCAACAAACTTTGAAACCTATAAACATATATAAATAATCATGCGCATGTGTTTTTATACAGAATATGTGTCTCATTATTGTCTATGTCATGCATTTCTTTTTTCTATAAAATAAAACTAGAAGGATTAGAATTAAACGTTTTTTGATTGATATAAATCATTTGTATTATGTTTTTTTTTGTTTTGTTTTTAAGAACAGAAATATGTCAAACTATGACGACAATTGGGTATGAATGGTTTTGTTTTGTCAATCTACATTCGAAAACAAAAAGACGCCATCACCCATGTATTTTTTTTCTTTTTTCTATTTGGTTCTTCCGATATAAATGTCGATGCACACTGACGTCAGCAAAAAAAAGGAATATAAAAAAAAAAGAAGCATGCTCATCTATTTTCAGCATCTAGCAATGGCATACACACACACACGCATCTGTTCTCCTACTTTATATATATTCGCAAAAGGGGAAGCGTTGTTTCTTTTTCTTGTTCTGTTAGTCATGACATCTATTCTTTTTTTCTTTCGATAAGAATTAACTCTCTTCTCTTAAAAAACAGAATTAAAAAAAAATATATATATTTGTGTTCTCTTCCTATTCTTATTCTACATAATTGAGAGGTAAGTCATAATAGATAAAAATGTTGTCTTAAGCGACAACATGACGTCATTTATGTAGACAAATAGAAAGATAATATCTCTAGTTAGACGATGACACCATACATTAATGTTTGAAAATAATAACTTAAATTGATTTTTCAAAGAATATTAACAGTGAGTAATCATACTATATATATTTAATATATGTATGATATGAATCTTAGAAAAATAAGTAAATAATAAACATAGACATCAAAATATAATGATAAAACGTTGCTGCAATGTATGGAAATTTTCGAGTGCTTTATATTTGCGTAGTTAATTTTACTTTTTCACTCATAAGTTGCCTTACGGCATTTGGTACTGTATATACAATTTTTCTCTTCGTTTTTCTTTCTTTTTTTTGTTTTTGTTCTTTCTCTGCTTCTTTTTTCTATTTTATTTTATTGGGAAAAAACCAACTCTCTCTATTTGACGAGCTTATTTTTCATTCTGTTTTAGTTACTATTCAAGCTGTGTCAATCAATAAATTGTCATAAATGCTTTCTAAATTTGATAGTGTCGATTCAATAGTTCATTATTTACGAGAATCTACGTTATCATCATCAGTAGTTAATTCAACGACAACAAATTTTGATTTCAATAATAATAAATTCAAATCATCAAAAGAAAAAAATTTAACAAATCCGATGAATATTAAACCTACCCCTGCTGTTACTTTACAACCACAGTTACCAGGAGATATACAAATCTTACCAAAAGGTCGTGTAAGGTAAAAAGATTAAATTATATTAAATATTTAAATAATTTTTTTTTTCTCTTATTTATGACTTAGATATGGACCAGTAACAGTTAATCCACGTAAACAACCATCAAAAACATTATATACTGGTCGTCGTTCAAAATATGAAGTTTTATCAGGTGATGAAGAAGAAAAACGTCGTGATCGTCGTGAACGTAATCGTGTAGCAGCAACCAAATGTCGTGAAAAACGTGAAAATGTTTTAAATCGTCTTGAAAAGGAACATACAAAAGAATTACATATTCAAGAACGTCTTTCTAAAATGGTTGAAGCTTTAGAACAAAAAAAAAATGATCTTGAAACATTTATAACAAATCATTTCAATGAATGTTCATTAATAAATAATTTACCATCATCAACACAATCATCAATGATCTTTGGTGACACAGCATTTCTCTCATCAATTATTGATACTCCACCACCACCACCACTGCCATCTATTCAAGAACCAATTCTTCATCATGATGACGAAGAATTGAGTCATATTCTTGATCCCGAACCAATATTAACAAATTCTGCTTATAATACTGATGATTCAAATTCATTATTAATTCCACAACAAGAATTACAGACAATAACAATGACAAGTGGTAGTCTTGAACAACTTATAAATAATTTACAATCACCAACAATATCAATGGAAAATAGTAATAATCATTCAATATTATTTAATTCAGCTAGTGGTTCATCATGTGCTAAACAACATTCAAATTCAAGTGAAGATGATTCATTACCACCAACGCGTACAAATCCTTGTGTTTATTAAATATTTACAAGTTGGTGATGCATCTAAAACTAACACAATATTCTCATTCAATTTAATTTCTCTCTTTTTTCTTTCTAGTCTTTCTCTCATTTGTCGCAATTGTCTATGTGCTTTTTCTTTTACATACGTTTCGTCTTAAACATGATTATCATGGCTAGCCATTGTGTGACTATATTAACATCCGAAATTAATCAACTAGTTCTTGTGTGATTTTTGTTTCTATATATATATATTATTCAAAATGTTTTGCCTGTCTTTTCGTTTGTTTATATTTATACAACATATATATCACCAATGAAAGATGAATACAAAAATGATAATCTATTCATAAGAGTTTTTTTTTTCAAAGAATAGAATTGATACATTATCATTGAGGATTAATTTCAGTATATGTTGTTAAGATAGAAATGTTCAAATTTAATCAAAACTTGAAATTAATATTGAAGTTTTCTGTATATATTCAATAATATCTATCATGATTTTTATAAATTAATTGATATAAAATAAATCACTAGGTTTTTTTTTAATATTAATTATTGATAATTTAATATACTCAAAGGTTCAATAATAAAGATACATTGTCAAATATTTATTTTACCTCAATCGACATTAATTATGATGCGAAAAAAAATGTCTAAATTAAGTATAATCTGAGTTATTGCAATAATTCATAGTATAAATAAATAAAATTCTCTATGTAAATATTTTTTTCTCATGTCATATTGATACTTTGTAAAGTTAAAGTCATAAGCAGTTAAGATCTAGTTCAACATTGATCTTTAAAAAAAAGAAAATAGCAGCTCATATTCTCTGAGTTTTAATCAGAAATAATTAATTCAAACGAGTAAAATTTATTTTTAAATTGTATTAAATTTATTGTAGCTTTCAAAAGAAATTAAAATTTGAATTTAGTCTATAGAGAAATCTTTAATTCTCTCTATAAACAATATTAAATACATCATTATTTCTGTTTCTTCTCGGGAAAATTTAAAATAAACAATAGCATAACATCATGTTCTATATTTGATGAAAGAGTAGAATTCAGTTTGTTGAGGTCAATTAAATTTATCCACAACAAGAGAATTTATATTTCAATATTATAATACGTGTTCCAACCGTATTAGAGAAGAGTCATAGTCGAGCAGGATTACGCTTTATTCTAAGCTAAATATCTCACTTTTGGTTTCATCTTTGCCTTCATTTCCACTCTTATTCTCAGTCTTTCCAGTTTGTGTTAAAACTAACACTGGGATTAATATTTCAACTTCAGCAATGATGATGATGATCGTAAAATATTTGACTTTCTTAGTTCAAAACAACTGTGGTCACTTTTTAATGTATCATATTATTATTTCTATTTTTCTCCTTATCCAATTCACATAGCTTTCTTATTTATGCATTGTTAGCCTTACTGATGACCTAACTGATAAGTTATGATTGTTCTATTTCTTTTTCTGTGATAACTCCAGACAAGAAAATAGTCGCGTCTTTTTTCTGTCTATATCATACAGAAAAAAGGGAAAGAATTTATCGTATCGTTCAAAACAACTACAATTATAGCTTTTTCTTTTTCTCTTTCTCTCTCCATCTTTATTCAACTATAAGAATTGACGAGATCAATGACAATATTTATTTTACTGAACAAAACTATCAAAAAGGTGAATATTCATTTCATTGATATCTCTCAATATTGATTTTATTCAAAATAGACACAGAAGAAATCTAATAATTTGTGCTTTAACTATTGTCTCTACAAAAATTGGTTTAGCAATGAAGAATCAGATATACAAATATATGGGAAGTACTCTGAGTATGTTCATTATATTCATAATCCATTGTGCACTGAAAGACACAAGAGCAAGTGGCTCTTTTTTTTTCAAAACATGCTTACAGATCCAATGCGTGATTATACACTGGCTGTACGCTGTTGGTTTTATTATTCGATCTGTACATATTCATGAACTATAAGCGATGTATATCTTTCTATACTTTGCATAGATCATCAGTTCTATGTCTCTTACATCACCTGTGATGATACAGGCATATGGCCCCCACTCTTGATAATGATGCTTCTTATTTGTTTTTACCCTACTTGTTATGTCGTATTGTTCGACAACTACAGAATATCTTTGTTCTTTTGTCACTGATAGTTACAACTAATTGGCTTTTGACTCGTTGTTGCAATAATATTTATCGTCTATTTCTTTGTTTGGCAATTTGTTTGTCTTATTTATAAATGGCTTCATCAGGATTTACCTTATCTTTCTTTTACTCTTCATCAAAAAGCAACTTGTTTATCTATGGAATTTTTGGCATTTATAATATACGATGTTGTATTGCGACTTCTGTCCACATGTATCGGTTTTGCTCTCATCTGACTAATGTCTGTTATAAACATGTAAGTTTATATAAGTGATTTTTATTTCTTTGGTAGTCAAACATTCTTTTCACAATAACATTACAAACATTGCTAGTATGGATCATTTGAAAAATAATTGATCGCTTAAGATCTAAAGATACTCACATCCAAATACAGATTTGAGATACTTTGTATAATCTGTACAATGTTCATTTGTTATCGTAATATATAGATCGTCGAAAATCTACTTTTTTCTGTCATCAACATAATCGAGAATACTTTACAAGAACAAAAAACTCTCACCTTTTTCGTATATCTTAAGCCGACGATCGGTGAAGAAATATACATGAATACAAACTAAAAATTTTCTATAATCTTCAATCTATAAGAATATTTTATTTGTGTCAAAATACATCTCGTAAGATGAACTTATGCACACTTTTTGTTATTTACAAGACATCCTTACATAGAAACAGCAGGCATTTACATCAGATGTTAGGTGAAGGATGGAATATCGTAATAGATAACATAATACAGTTGGAAAAATGCATGAGTTATTACATCAAAGAATACACTAGGCAAACTACCTGACAAAACACATGTAAAGAAAGAAAGAGAACGAACATATATGGATAATATTCTTAACATATTTCTGTCTTATGGCACATCTTTACACTACATGATAATAAATAACAAGAGTGATAAAACACTATCGTCAAACTAAATATTTCTCTCTGGAAAAAATTCTGCATAAAGTAAAATGTATCTTATAAGCAGCTTTCTGTTCGTTTTCAAGATTTGAGAGCGATTTGTTAGAAAACTATAATCTTTTGAATTTTGATATCTTTTGAATGAATCCATTCTTTTCTTCTTGTTCATACAAACAAGACTTTTGTAATTCTTTTTTTTTTCAAAATAGTGTCACATGTTTGCATCCAAAATGCTGTGCGTATGACCCAATAACGGAAACACTGATAAACACTATGTTATTTGATTATCCAACGGCTCCATGTGGATATTATTGCGTATGTGATACTAACGATGATGTGGAAAATGAGAACGCGTGTAATCTGCTTATTAGATGGGGTGACTTTTTTTGGTTTCGATCTTTTATTATTATTTGTTATACCTACCAATTCTTCGATTACAATAAGAGCATGCACAGCGATCGGCTGCATAATCAGTGTACAACTTGGTGATCTATGCACTAATTTTCTGCGTCCCGATAGTGATTCTAATGATTTGCCGACTATGTCTCTTCTAACGATTGCTGTCTCTGCTTACGCTATTGCTGTTAATACCATCATTGAATATTCAAACCTTGGCTGTGAGCAGGCTTACCGATTAGGGGGGGGGGGGGGCTAGCTCCCCGCAAAATTTTAAAACACGTACGACTTTCTGGCAAAATTTAAAGAACTTTCTGCGAAACTTTTGAAAGTTTTCTCAAAAACTGCGTCAAAAATCTAGTTTTTAAGCTTTCTGTGCCATTTTTCTGACAGAAAGTCAAACAAAAACATCTTTTACTGATGAAATCTGGCAGAAAGTCTGTAATTTTAGTACTTTCTGCTTGCTTATGCCAGAAAGTCATATGAAGGCACTTTCTGCCAAAATTTTTGGACTTTCTGCCAAATTTTTAGCCCCCTCCACTTTTCAAAACAATCGGGAACCATGGCTGTGAGGATCTGTGGAAATGAAGGAAAAATTTTTGTTATAATTTTTGATACTTTGTTCTTCATAACTCATTGATGAAATAAACACTTCACGGTTCAATATTTTTGTGGTTTATACCAAGAAGAAAAAGTTGAATTTTTAATTACCAATGGTTGCTATTTAACACTTCCAGCTTTTTTTTGATTACATAATAAATTCGAATTCTTATGGATAATCTTTACGATTTTCGTCGTTAGAGAGAACAACAATGATGTTTTTTGCTAGTGAATTGACCATATGTATTGTGCGAACTTTCGCGAAAAGTATGATAGAAATGAGCATAATGTCTTTAAAGAGAGCTATTCGTTAGATACTAAAGGACAATAGAAATTACAGAAATCAATGTTTGTCTAAGTATCCTTTGACGACATATTATAGTTTTATCGTGTTGTCAGTAAAAGCATTTGTTTGCTTTATGTCAGATTTATGTTGAGAGGAATTTTCAAATTTAAAACAGAAACTACTTAGGACATACCAAAAGTCTTTACGATGCTATATCAATTTTTCATAGAATGCTTGCAGAAATTTTCTTTTTTTTATGTAGTGATAGAGAAAATGATGCTCTATTTTTCTATGCTATTTGATCAATCTTCGATTAATACCGTAATAATAAAATTTCGATAAGAACTGTTTTTGTGTAAAACTAAACTAACAGATGAGGCAGATTAAATGTTTCAATCATTCAATACATTGTATTAAAAAACAAAATATACCACAAGATGCAGCGTGAAAAGCTCTACAACTTATAAAGAATAGTTTATTTTATATATGAAATAAGAAAAACAGAATTTCTCTTCGCATGATTTTTTCAGGGCGGTGAAAATTGATCGCACAAAATTTTGGTTCCTTTGATGAGAAATACACAATTAAAATAAGCATTACTTGGTAGATTATAGAGCTTTTCATACTGTATTTTGTGATGTATTTTGTTTTTTTAAAATAAAAGATGTCAGGTGACAAAAAGATGAAACAAGAAAAAATGAATTCGTCTTCTACCAAAAAGATATCGTTTTCGTACGATTGAAAATTGATCGCTCAAAATTTTGTTCATTTTGAAAACAAAAAATACAACTATTAAAAAACAGCGGTCTTATATAAATTGTAGAGCTTTTCATGCTGCATCTTGTGGTATATTTTGTTTTTTAATACAATGTATTGAATGATTGAAACATTTAATCTGCCTCATCCATTAGTTAAGTTTTCCACAAAAAACAGTTCTTATCGAAATTTTATTATTATGATAGTAATCGAAGATTGATCAAATAGCATAGAAAAATAGAGCATCATTTTTTCTATCACTACATAAAAAAAGAAAATTTCTTCAAGCATTCTATAAAAAATTGATATAGCATCGTAAAGACTTTTGGTATGCCCTAAGTATTTGAGTAGAATAGAGTTTTCAAAAAAAATGACTAAAATTGTTTTTTCCTAAATTTTATATTGTATGCTAGGAGTGTATTTTATTTATCAAGAAAAAACCAATTCAGATAAATCTGTTATTTCTTTTAAATTATTTTAGTTTATATTCTCAAATTATTGACAAATGTAAAGAACAATAAACTATGATTAACAAAGCAAGTACATTATAATATACTTATCATTGAAATATGCTAAAATCGAATTCACTTATTTTACATACAGTAATTTCGTTTTTTTCTTGAATGATAAAGTAAGTGAATCATGTGCTAACTTAACAATGGCTGTTCCAACGAATTATTACCTGCTTTTGTATGATTTTTCTTTTTTTGTTGAACGCTTCAGGGAAAAAACATTATCTATCATTAGACTAGAACGCATCTTGATGAAATTCGAACTAAAACTGTAAACAATTGAAAAAAACAATGTAGAATGAAGATAATGGTTTGTGAATTGTTCAGAATAACATATTATAATATTCTTTTTTTATCTAGCATCTGCTGTTGAATCACTTATTGTTAATGATAAAAATAAACTTATTGAATTGAATAAGAAACTCAACCGAGAAATAATTTCTTTTAATTATTCAAAAGAAACGATTGAAATTAATATGTATAGTTTTTGTAAATTATATAGAAAAAATTCAATTAGATTATGAGGATATTATTTAAACTTGATGATTTTAAAAAACAATTAGCTAATATACAAACATCAATCGTTGAACTCGAAGCCTGGTATAGTCATATAAGTAAAAGACAAAAGCAGAAAATCATATTATTATAGAAATTACAATATTTAGATAATCATCGAAATCAATAACGCAAAAATAATTCATTTTTTTCTTTTGTTTTTCGTCTGGAAAAGAAAAAAAATTATATTTGTTCATTTTTTCTTTATTCACCATTAAGAATTACGTCATGTTTATTTTGGTTTGATTAAAATAAAAACTCAAACAAGATCCAGTAATTTTCATAAAATGCATCAATATCATAAAGATATATGATTGCAGCTGAAGAACTTGATATGAAAGTGTTTGTTTTATTTTGATGAAACAATGACAATAGTTTTTATCAATTTGACGTATTAATCTTCATTCATGTGTTTTATCACCATGAGAAACCGATTTACAAAAAATTCAACAACAAATTTGTCATACAATTGACTTTTGATATATTTGTCAAAGTAGCACAAAATTTTAAAAACAAATAATAAAGAAAAAGACGATGATATATATGAAACATGTCATATATTTGATAAATATGGTATTAGTTATGTTAGTGTTGCTCAACTGAAGCATCTTATACTTTCATTGAATGAATAACTTGTAGAAGGAGTTCACGAATTAACATATAAAGCTGATATTGATGTTGATGAATAATTTGTATCTAACAAACTAGAAACTTTTTTAAAAAATAATTTCATTGATTTTTCTATTTGCATTTAGATGCAACTGCAAAGATTTTATATGTATTTTAACAAATAAACAACGTGAAAATATGATCGAATTATTTGTCAATAATAAAGTGAACAAAAAATAATACATATTCCGTCTGATAATAAGTTCAATTGCTTTTCTATATAATCTCTATAATTCATACATTTCTCGTTTTTTCTCTTTAATGTTCTATTTTAGCAATATCTATGATTCAACATATTTCTTGTTTCATTTTTGTTTTTTTTTCTTTCTTTTTTTGTCTTCATCGATTGGATATAAATGATGAAATAGTTAAATTATTTATTATTGTATTTAATTGTTCAACATCTATCTGATGATGATAATACTACAAGGAAAAACATCGAAATATCATATATTTATGGTATTTTACATCCTTTCATATTTAGTTCGATTATTTTTTATTGATTCGATTTAGTGGTGTATTATAATACATTTTCATCATTATATAGCTATATAATAAAAGATAAAATAAAGCATGATAATGTTGTTCTTGTTTTTTTTTGTCATAGTGGAAGCAACTAGTGTTAAACATCGTAGTTATTTTAGTACTAAGTAAGTAAAATAATTTATGAAAGTTTCAAAACATTTTCTCTTATTGTATGCAAAAATAATGAGTTCTAAAATGATTTCAGAGCTTCTGAGATCTCCTTAATATGTATGCGTGCAAATGGAGAGAGAGGTGAGTCATTATTTTGTCTTTTTCTCTTTCTCTCTTATTAATATTGGACAAAAGTTGCACATGTGTCAGTTACTTATTATTGTTTTTTATCACATACTTGCTACGCAAATCATGCTATTGTTCGAATTAATACGATTTTTATTTTACTTGCTATTTTTCATCATACTGGATTCTCTTTCTTCTCTCTCTGCACAACTACTCTTCATCGGTCATGGACGAGTGATCAACATTTTTTTCGAGCGTCGGCTTTGTCGATGGAGCGTAATCTACATAGTATTACAAAGGCAAATACATACTCCGCATGCTTTACTGATTTCTGCAGTTGAACAGATATTTTTCTTCAATATTTCTATCTTTCACGATCAACAGATGTAAAAGAAACAAACCACTGTTGTTAAAAGTCACAACTTCATTTTTTACTGATAATATTTTTCGATATCCTTAGTGGGATCCGATGACTGCTGCCTTCTCATATGAAAGGCTAATATTACAGCAAAAGAAACACATATACACATATGTTTTTTCTACTTCAATTCTTTGTTACAGTGCTGTTGTTCAACAAGCCAGCTTCGAAATTAATTTAAATGTATAAAATAAAGAATATTTTTGATAGATAAATTTTATTATTATTGAATGATAAATAAATATATAAAAAATGAAACCAAAAAAAGTGAAAAATACATGTTAAAAAAAGATAAACGCAAAAAATGTGTAAAAGAAATTCACATTTGCAATGACAATGGTCACTTACTGGATAATTTTCGTTGAGTGATTGCCTTGAGCAGTAGTCTCTGTTGATAAACTATGCAATTGATCGATGATAATCTATTGATTATTTGAAAGAAAAAACCGTTGAGCTGGAAATTAAAAAAAATATATGAAATTAAAAAGCTTTGTTATCCGTTATAATAAAGTTGCATGAGCAGAAATTTAATCGATGATGGTGCACATCAACATTATCGAGAAGAAGAGTAAGACAAATAAAGGAAAAAGAAAAAGCACATATACAAGTCGATCGATGACTTCGACCATTCAGCACAAAACAGATACCATCACCAACACTAACACACATTATATCAAAGGAAATGAATACTAAATATATTTTATTGATGCTACATGTGTGCGTGTATCTTGTTCTGTTAGGTTATATTATCCTTTTTTTTTAAATTATAGCCTCATCTTTTAATGTTAATTTTTTTTTGAAGTCAATTTGATTTTATTTTGATTTCTCTTTCTTTTCTCTTTTCTTTTTTTTTCGTTCTCTAGCTATCCACATGTGTGTATAGAGAGTGGATCGATATCGACATGTTTTGTTCTTTTATCGATAATAACTGCTTGATTTTGTACAAAGTCGAAATTTTGTTCAATAAAAAAAAAGGATAATAATAAACTATAAAACGTCGCTATCCTCTTGAAAGTTTGATTAAAATCGTAACTTTTACATAAATCTAATAAAGCTCATATATTATAGTAATAAAGGACATAAATCATAAATGCCTTCGAAGACTCAAAATAAAAGTAAAACTGATTTGTTTTTTTTTGAACGTTTCTATTTGATATAAAAAACAAGTTGATTCGTTTGATTTGTCGTCATATGGTGATTAAATAAATGCAAGAATAAAGTCAATCAATCTGATCCTTACAGTCGGTATCAACCATTATTCTTCTATTAAACCTATTCTTTGCAAATAACATGGAGCTAGTTTTCAACGTTTTCCATTCAATCTCTAAATGCGAATTTTACTCACCAATAGCATCATCGATATAAATTTGGAAAAAAATGATCACTTTTGTGTTTCATCTACTAGCAGACGCACAATCCAATTGAGTCGAAACTTTGTTTGACCATTCCAGAAGATGAAAATTTATGCATTCTATTGACTGTTTGTTTTTATTTCGAACTCTAAAGTCTTTATTATTTTGTGACTACTCATCGTCTTTCTCTCATTTTCACACTCGATCCTCCTAAATTGTGATGGAGTTGGATACAAATTGATGCGCTTAGTATCAATAGGTCTTCCATTCTCAATTAATATTTATATATATTGTTAATTTCGTATCGTTCGTTTTTATCTTTCGTACAGAGCAATATTCAGATCAAACACCACAGAGTTCAAAATCACCGTTTCAAGATTGACAATTGTCAACTACAGCCGAAAGTTTCCCTTTTGTCATATAAACAAAAACACGAAATCTATATTGTTCTCATTAACCATTACTTAGAAATCTCAAATGATTCATTCATATCCATTCATACCATCAACAAGTGACACCTATTTTACATGCTTCGTGCAGGTATCTATTCAATACCGAAAAAAATTGATCCATACTTTTTCTTATTCTTCTGCTCAAATACGTTTCTGCATCTTAGTGAAGAAAAGAACAGAGAAAAATAACTCGTTCTCTCAGCACAACAAATAAAAAATATCATTCTTGCAATATCCAATCAACCGTTCTAAATTTTTAACAAGCAATAAACCTATGTCTAAATGACTAACACCAAGGCCGTCCCCAAAGACAAAAAGAAATATAAAATAACAATACAGCGACGTTTGCTATTTCTTTTTCTGGCCGTCGCCTTTAGCAAGAAAAACCTAACCATACCTTCTAATTAACGGATGAATGATCAGCCTACAAATATTCACCGACCGAAGCGAGAAAAAAATCTCTCACGAAGATTATATATAAACACAGAGAATACACCAAACGACAACTGCCGAATATTTCAAGATACACATACTTCGTTATTAACGTCCGAACAACAACCATCGATTCTTCCAAGTCGACATCATGCATCTCAAGCTACTTATTTTCCTTTCATTAGTGGTCATTACCACCACCTGGCCAAGTCTCAGATATCTCGATGACGACGAGGGCGATGACCGTGTTCTCGATCGGCTTGTGCTTCGCAAGCTCGCCAATCTGTTGCTAGGCGAACGCACCGCACACATTCATTTATGTCGTGCTTCGTTTATCAATCCATTCTTCCTCAACTTTCTACACAAAACGCGTATCAAGCGAACAGAAACTTACTGCATAGTATCCGTTTATCATATCATGTCAACTCATCCACTCAATGTCATTGTACCACTTCTAAGCCAATCAAAGAGACGAATAGAATTATTGTAAATACTATTCATTTCTCACACCATCTATACTCCTACATCCAATATCTTGTACTACTTCGAACTGAATCACACAGATCAATAGAATCTTCCTCCATAGTATTCACTCATCCGATGATCACTACTGATATATTCCACACCCTTCTACTACTTCAAAGCGACTCAAAGAGATGAATAGAATCTTGCTCAATAGTATTCATTTCTCATATGATGTTTACTCATGGATTCAACATCATTCTAACATTTCGAATGGAATCATAGAGATGAATAGAATGTTGATGAATAGTATTCATTTCTCATATGATGTTTACTCATAGATTCAACGCCATTCTAACACTTCCAAGCGAATCACAGAGATGAATAGAATGCTTATGAATAGTGTTCATTTCTCATATGATGTTTACTCATGGATTCAACATCATTCTAACATTTCGAATGGAATCATAGAGATGAATAGAATTTTCCTGAATAGTATTCATTTCTCAAATGATGCTTACTCATAGATTCAACATCATTCTACCACTACGAAGCGAATCAAAGAGATGAATAGAATCTTGCT